TTAGGGGGCCGGTACCTTACTAAAGGTCGTATGGGTACGCCACTTAGATTAATTCGCCGACGAATGAAATCCCTTTTGGGCCCCGTAAAAAGAGAATCAAAAGATTCTGCTCACTACAGGGATCGAACCTGTGACCTTGGCGTTATTAGCACCACGCTCTACCGACTAAGCTAAGCGAGCTCGTTGAAAGCCAGGATTTTGATATGCTGAAGTATCAGTGCACAGCAAAAGCGATAAACTTCATCCATGACGAAATCGTTTCGGCGGTGGCTTAGAATCATCCCACTCTACCCCGAAAATACTGGCAACCGAGTCGCGCTAATGGTGCAGTGGTAGCATACTACATTCGGGTTGTAGTGGTCCCAGGTTCAATCCCTGGTTAGCGCCTTGTTGTGGAACAAGCTCATGTTCTTTTTTTTGGAACCCGGGTACATCTGTCGGCGCGCACGTGACTGAGATGCGTGATCGCTCGTTGGTCACTGCAATGCATTCAAAATGTCGACCTCGTCCGACATTGCACAGGTGTTGATTTTCCTTTCTTTTATGGCCCTCAAGAGAGGGTTTCATTCGTCGGCGTAGACATGGCCGCCTGTTGTACAATAGAGAGAGGTTATCTAACTATGGAACAAAGGGTGGAGAGTGACCCAGAAACAATATGAAGAAATTATAAAGAGTCTGGAACATACAACGGAGGGAGGGAAGCAAGAAAAAATCTACACTATAGTACAACAGATAACGAGGGGGTCCAGTGGGTCTATGAGTCCGTGGCAGATAACAGTGCAGGCAGAAGATCAGATAAATCCAAGGGTGGTGGCAGTACCGCCCTCTCAAGCAGCTGAGAGAGGTCGTCCATGACCTCATCAGGCGGCTCAATAAGTGTTGGTTTTCTTCCTGGAAGGGGAAAAAGACCCTGATCGGTTTCTAATTTTTTTTTCTTTCTTCCTCCCTCCATCGTTAGAACACTCCAATCTCATGATTTGGGCTGATCTGTTTGACAACCCTCACCTGTTTAAAATCCAATGACTACAATGGGGATCATTATGCAAGTGCTCATTGCGATAATGGGATTTCTTAGGGGTTATATTTTTGAAAATCAAAACCGGTGGCCAAAAGAGCAAATTATAGCCTTCCAAGGCAAGGATCGTCAAGCAGTGACGGTCAACGGGGTTGCCAAATCACGTTAACTGCACGATCTGTAATATGTGGTCGACCTTGCTAATAGATGCTAAAAGGTAGGTGGGGCTAGCTAGTCTAAAGAGACGGGATGGAAGGCGGTCCAGAAACAACATGAACAATATATAATTAAAACAGAGAAGAGAAATACAGAAAAGCTGGTATAAAACGTACGTACCCAAAAAGAGACCAAGTCAAAAGCAGTTTATAGTTAATTCAGGAGCTCCGACAGGTCAAAGGGTAATCATAGCTTCTTCGTGGCAATCGCGTTGACAGGGTCTACGTCAACATCGCCAACCTCGGTTATATCAGACTGTAGCATGGATTTTATAAAGTAGGAAGGAAGAAACAAAGTGAGAAGGAGAAGGAGCTCGCTATCTTTTCTGAAGAGGAAAGGGTCCTGAGTTCGTATTGTATACACACGGATATATTTCAAATCTATTTAAATGTATGCTTTTCTGGAATAATACAAAAAATTTAGGACATAACTTTGGCAACGTCTTTGCCGACCCACCAGAGCCAGATTTTCAAAAAGCTCTCAACAACGAGGAGACGCCACTGCATACAAAATGCATCAAAGAGGAAATGAATGCTCCTCGAAAGCGTTGGTGCGCCACCAAAGAGATACCACCGGTTTTTAAAGCCTAGTCCGAGCTGTTTGCCCGCCGCCTGTGTGGCTTGAGACGAGTTGTCGTCCTTGGCATCCTGATGGCCATGCCACCAAGAACGCAGAGATCCAAAGAGCCCCCGAGCATGGTTATCATGGCGGCGACGCTGACGTTCTAGATACCGTTCTCTCTGTTCCTGGCGGGTCTCAGTCCAGACACCTTGGGTGGCATACGTGGCATTAACATGAAAACGCTCAACATTCTCACCCCCGAGTTGTTGGTGGATACCGCGCGTCAAGTTGATGGTTCGGAAGACAAGCAACATATCGCGTGGCAGTGTCTCGAGAAACTCGAAAATGTCAGCCATCGTCACTCCTTTGAGGTTCGATCGTACCTCGCTCTTCTGAGCTTCAGTCATGCCTTCACCAATCTTTTGTGTCGAACTCGGTGGCCTCTGGATCAGAATTAAAGGAATGAAACCGACATAGTTGCTACGAATGCCAAGATGATCCGAGGCCTTGTTCAGTAGTTCTTGATCGTTTAGGATCAACGCCCGCCAGAGGTGGCAATAGTTGTACCGGAAGTTCTCATCTAGCTCTCGATAAAGGCCATGATCCAGTAGCACAAACTGCGGCTTTCCAGTAAAATTGTCGCGGGTGATTAAAATATTACCAGCCTTTTGAAGAGTGAAAAAAAAACGATAAAACCATGGCGATGTGAGAATTCATGGATAATTCGACCAGACCTTACTACTTTAGACCAACAGGGGAGGAGGGGGAAGGAAGAGTCGACTTACGTGAGGATCGCAGTGTAGCACACCATGAATGAAGACCATCTCGGCAAAGACCTCCAGTAGTATTTTCCGAACCCAGCTAGGCTCGATATTTAATTTTTTTAGGCCTTCCAGATCGTTCACCTTGACTCCGTCGATAAATTCCATTGTCAAGATCTTTTTGGTACTTAAGTCCCAGTAAATCTCAGGAATGTACAGTTCAGAGCGATGCATAAAGCGTTCTTTTGTTGCCTCACCATTCCTATCGATTGTTTTTGTTAAAACTTACAAGTTATTTACTTGCGCAGTACACGCCCTCAATGAACTCATCCTCAAAGAAATTGCCTCATGTAAAAGACCTTACCTTGCTTCGTTTGTAAAATCAAACTCTGCAGTCAAATTGTCGCGAAATTCCTTGACGACCCAGCCAAACTCAAACTCTGGAAAGAGAATACCGACCAGAGTCGAGAGGGTTTCCATGGTACCCATGTCAGCTGAATTCCCCCCGAGAGGAAATCAAAGAGTAGGAGTCTAGTTAGTGATTTTTTTTTGTTACACGACAAATTGACTATGCTTTTTCAATTTTTTTCATTCTCGGTTGATTGCTAAAGCCTACAAACAACTTACTCCTAAAGAGACGCGCAACGTCGCTATACTGCACCTTCACGGCCGCCTTACGTCCATCTTTGGTCACAGCTCGATGCACTTGTGCAAGACTGGCAGCCGCCATTGGAGTTGGGTCAAATTCCTGGAAGAGATCGAGAGGGCGGACGCCAAACTCGTTAAGAAACACCTGTTCCACTTCCTTAAAGGGCTTGAAAGGCGCTCGGTCCTGCAGGACGCTCAACGTGTTGGTGTATTCTGGAGGCACGACAAATGTCAGAGACGCTACGTGCTGGCCCGCCTTGGTGTAGATACCTGTGTTGAGCCGGCACAGTCGTAAGAGCCGATCGGCGCATCGCTGGTGTACCATCTTTCGCTCTGCTTTGTACTTGTCTGACGTATATCCTTCGGAAGCCCATCGCAGATGCAGAATCTTGTAGTCGGCCATGCATAGACATCCCGTAATGAACGTTGCCGTCGATCGAAAGATCGCCACCGTATAAATGCTGAAGTAATCTCGGAATGTTGGGCTCCATACCACACCTACTACCGTCAACACAGCTCCCAACCCCAATCCACCGACAAAGCCGCGCTTTAAGAGCCGACGGATCGATCCAGGGTGGGTTAATGAAGAAGGGGTGGGCGAGAGAACTGTCGATGTAGCCGGTGGTGATTGAGTTGGACTGGAAGAGGTAGAGAAATTCGAAGAGCGGAGTATATGTTTCGATCGCAATCCGATCGAAGGACGCGTCGTTGTTGCGCTCCTTATTTCATTTTGCGCAGAGGTAGAGCCAGCATGGTAGCTGGCCCATTGATGTGCCTGAAAAAAACGGTGATGGGTTGTTGCTTTCGCACGGCATGCAGATCTATCAACGGATTGTAGACCAATTCCTTTTGGGACAGGAGTACTCGGGGTCCAAGTAGGGTGAAGAGTGGATGCATGTCGGAGGCGATGCAGCTGTGCTGGTGATCTTATTAGGTGTTTTGACGGCGCTAAAAGAGAGGATAAAAGCCCGAGCGGGATAGGCGAAACCCTGAATTTTGCAGAGCTAGCGCCAAGGGCTTGGCTCGTCCTTAGCATTGCTGCATGCAAAAGTTCAAAGAGGGAATGAGACCAATGACAGGAATGAATAAAGGCAAAAGGAATGAGGGCAGGGGGGGGATGAAGGTTGTGTGGAGGAGGACGATGAGTTACAGGTATGCGGTGAAGGTAGAAAAAGGTTTCAATTCAGACAAAGAGTCACATCACACCAATGCCCCAAAAAAGGGAGAAAAAATAGTTCTTCGACGGTTACAGGACATGAACAGCATGTCAGCACAGACGTGTCTGATCGAGGGATGAGAGGTGCCCTGATACAACGCGACTAGCAACAAACCATGCTGTCTTTCTGGACTGTAAACAGTCATTTGCTTCTTATTGGATATTTTTTCTTCTGCCAATGTTCATCTTTCCATCGGCATCAACAGTGGGTGTGGTTCCTCTCATTGGCACAAAGGATATCTTGGACACGACGATCTGTGCTACTCTATGGGTGTTTTTGTTGGACAGAATCTTTTCTTGGCGGACATCTTTGCGCATACAAACACAGAACATCTGAAAAAAATAAGCCCTTGGTTTAGAACTGTCGACTTTCGAGCTACAATTCGCCACATTTGACATTGTTGTTTCATTTCTCCATTTCCGCATTCTCTTCATTGCTACTCTTTCCCATCTCAAGTCTCTGTTCCTTCCTTGTCTCTCCTGAAAACATTGTCATTCCACAACACAGGCAAACATGACAGCCCTTGGAGCTGTAGTTCAGGTGGCCGTAGTACTTGGCTTTGGTGGTTTGCTTACCTCGCTCGGATACATCCCACTCAAGACACAAATGACTATGCATAACATCACACAGGTCTTCTTGGCTCCTGTGCTGGTCTACTTTAGCGTAGCCTCAATGTCCTTTGGCCTACACGATATCCTTGCTCACTGGCACATGGCGCTATATTTTGCCATGCTCATGTTATTGGTGGCCATGGCGTTTTGGTTTATTGCTTATCTAGCCAAATTCTCGCGAAAGGACTGCCAATGGGTCGCAGCATCGATACTGTTTCAGGACTGGTCCCTTCTCCCTTTGGCGGTTGTGCAAGCGTTGGCCAACAGTGCAACCTCGAGCACTCATTATCTTTTTCAGGACCCTTCGGATACAAGGCAGGCCGTCATCGCCCGTGGGATCAGCTACATTGTCTTGTAC